AAATGAGCTAGGGTATTTATAGTTGAAGCTTAAGGACCAATCTTGTAAATACCCTAAAGTACAATGACTTAAATGTGTAATTTTGCCATGTCACTTTTCAACCATTATTAGTGTCAACTATGAACCATTATTGTTGCCAACTTACAATGCATTATGAACCATTATTATGCATTATGCAACTATTATTAGTTGCATGACAACTAATAATCTCTCACTTGAAGATTTGATTGGAACAATCATATCTTCACACCATTCTTTCTACCTTGTACCATCATGTTGCTTATGTCTCTGTCAGGCCACAAGAGGATCGGCACCAAGTAAATTTATCAGCATTGATCGCTTTGGTCATGAAATCTGCTATGTCGTCTTTGGTATGGATCTTTTGCATATCTACCGTCCCTTCTTCTACCTTTTCACGAATGAAATGGTACTGAACTCGTATGTGCTTTGTCCTTGAATGAAATGTTGGATTCCTTGCTAAATGCAAAGCGCTTTGACTATCACAAAACAAAGAGACATACTCTTGATTGTGCCCAAGCTCCTCCAATAGCATTTTCAACCAGATTGTTTCTTTACTGGCTTGTGTAGCTGCTACATATTCTGCCTCTGTTGTGGATGTAGCCACAACTGACTATAATTTTGAAACCCAGCTTACAGTTCCACCAGCAACTTTGAACACATATCCTGTAGTAGATTTAGTTTTATCCAAATCCCTTGCATAGTCAGAATCTATATACCCATTGATTAGTAAGTTTGATCCTCCGTAACATAATGCTATTTGAGGTCCCTTTGATGTATCTCAGGATCCTCTTTACTGTATTCCAATGCTCTTTGCCTGGATTCGCCATGTACCGACAAACCACTCCCACTGCTTGTGCAATGTCTGGTCTTGTGCATATCATAGCGAACATTAAACTTCCCACTGTTGATGCATACGGTACTCGAGACATTTCCATAATCTCTTCTTCACTGCTAGGACTCATACTGGAGGATAATTTGAAGTTAATAGGAATAGAGGTAGAAATTGGCTTACAATCTTGTATGTTGAATCTTGACAAGATATTCTTCAAGTAATTCTTTTATGAAAGCCAAATCTTCCTATTACTTCTGTCTCGGTGAATTTGCATCCCTAGAATCTTGTTTGTTGATCCCAAGTCCTTCATTTCAAATTCCCTAGCTAGTTGTGCCTTCAATTCATCAATATGATCTTTGTTGGGTCCTACAACCAACATATCATCCACATACAACAGCAAAATAACAAAATCGTTATCACCAAACCTCTTGAAATAAGCACAAGGGTCTGCATTAAGTCTGTTGTATCCAAGGCACATAATGAAGGAATCAAATCTCTTATACCAACACCTCGGCGCCTGCTTTAGACCGTACAGAGATTTGTTCAACATGCAAACCAAGTTCTTCTTTTCTTTTTCTTCAAAACCTTCAGGCTGGATAATGTAAATCTCTTCTTCAAGATTTCCATGAAGAAAAGTTATTTTAACATCTAACTGCTCTAGATGTAAGTTCAATGTAGCACATATTGCCAAAACTACTCAAACTGTTATTAGTCGAACCACAGGAGAAAAGATTTCATTGAAATCAATACCTTCTTTTTGAGCATATCCTTTGACCACCAGTCTTGCACGATACCTCTCAACTTGATCGTCACCATTTCGCTTGATTTTGAAGACCCATTTGTTACCAATTGGCTTCTTTCCTTGTGGTAGTGGCACAAGGTCCCATGTATTATTTTTATGAAGGGCTTCAATTTCTTCTTGCATCGCCATCATACATAGTGAAGCATCTGAGTTGTTTATTACCTCCTGGTATATTGATGGCTCACCGCCCTCTGTTAAACGGCAGTATGCAATATTTCATTCTATAACATAATCTGAGTGCCAATTGAGACGTCTTCTCACACGACCTGATTGACGAGTTGTTGGAGCTTCAGAACTCTCTGGTTCTTGTTCATCGTGTGCTGGTTGTGCTTCAAAAGAATCTCCTTGTTCAACATCCTTTTCCGCATGTATCTGTGTAGTCTCTGACTTTTCAGTGCTACCATCTTCTTCTTTTCTTTGTAGTAGATTTTCTTTTTAGTTTATCTTCTACAAAGATAACATCTCTGCTGATGACCACTTTGCGGGCAGTGAGATCCCACAAGCGATACCCCTTTACACCATCAACATACCCCAAATTCATGGAGTTGTACATCACATACACAATACTTCCAGTTTTGAGATTTGTTGGGAGTTGTACATCACATACACAATACTTCCAAATACATGGAGGTTTGAATAATCAGCTGATTTACCAGTCCACATCTCCATTGGTGTCTTCAGCTCTATTGCAGTTGATGGAGCTCGATTCACCAAATAACAGGCGATATTGACTGCTTCTGCCCAGAATGATTTTTCTAGGCTTGCATCCCTCAACATTGCTCTTGTTATTTCTAACAAGGTTTTGTTCATCCGCTCTGCCACTCCATTTTGTTGAGGAGTGTTCGCCACTGTGAACTGTCTTTTGATGCCTTATTTCCTACAAAAGTCATCAAATTCTTCACTTGTGTATTCTTCTCCATTATCTATTCTGAAACACTTGATCTTATTTCCAGAATCAAGTTCCACCCGCGCCTTGAAGATTTTGAAAGTTGAAAACACGTATGACTTCTTCTTAATAGGGTACACCTAACATCTCCTGGAGTAGTCATCAATAAATTAGACAAAGTATTTTGCTCCGCCTAGGGATGCAACTGGTGCTTGCCATACGTCAGAGTGAACCAATTCTAGAACACTTTTGCCTTTAGAATTTGATTTGTTGAATTTCAATCGGTGCTGCTTACTTGTTATGCAATGCTCACACAAAGGAAGTGTTACCTTTGTTAAGCCTGGAAGTAGCTTTTTCTCCACAAGGACTTTCATTCCTTGTAAAATGTGAACTACATGAGGCAACAAAGGCTTCAGCTTCTAGTAAAGTCTCTCCCTTCAGCATATACAAGTTTGCTGCTATATTTTTACCTTTCAGCACCACAAGCGCTCCACGGAACACCTTCATGATTCCTTTATGTGTTTCAATCTTGCTTGCATTATTATCCAACAATCCGTAGGATAATAAATTTTTCTTCAAGCCTTTCACGTGCCGCACATCTCGAACAACTTTAATTGTTCCATCATACATCTTCAATTTGATGGTTCCCACACCAATGATCTCTAAGGCATGATCATTGCAACTATACACAGATCCTCCTGAGACATGTTCATAATGATGAAACCATTCTTTCTTGAGGTCATGTGATATGTTGCTCATGAATCAATGAGCCATATATCTGCAAATCTTTTTCTACCTTCCACGGTGGTTGACGCTTCACAGCATAAAGCATCTCCATCATCTGAAGTGTTTGCTGTATTGCCTTGTGGATTGGAGTTTTTATTTAGACTCCAACAATCCTTCTTCAAGTGGCCCTTCTTTCCACAGTTGTAGCACTTTAAATTCTTCTTGCTCCTCAACTTCGATCTACCATGTTTGTGACTGCTGCTTTGGCCACGTTCTGTTGATCTCCCTCTCGTAATTGTCAACGCCTCTGCTTGTTGCGGATTTACTTATCTTTCTTCCTTGTTCTTGCGCCGATTTTCTTCTTGTAGAATAGCAGCTGCAACGTCATCGAAGACTAGACTGGTGACTTTACTGTTTGTCAAGTTGATGATGAGTTGATCATACGAATCTAGTAGACTTTGAAGTAGAAGTTCAGCACGTACTTGTTCTCCTATTTTACAGCTTAAGGATGTAAGCTGAGAAAATAAAGTGTTCAGTGTATTTAAGTGCTCCGTCACTGAAGTAGATTCTGGAATACGGAGAGTGTATAATTTTCTCTTAAGGAAAATTTTATTGTGCAGCGATGTGGCCTCGTATAGTTTGGTGAGATAATCCCATATCTCCTTAGTTGTCTTCTTCTCCTCGATGCTTGATAATAATTCATCTTCTAATGCTAGATGAAAGTTTTCCATAGCATTTTCATCCATTTCGATCCATTTGTTGTCATTTGTGAAATCTACCGGCCTTTCACTGATAGCTGCTAGACAACCGTCTTTCCTCAGGATGGTCTTCATCTTCAATTTCCACAATGAGAAATTTCTCCCATTGAATTTTTCAATATTAAATTTCGTTGCCAAAGCTTCTTTTACGGATAACTCCCACTATTTCACTATCGTGAATAGTTCTCTGGAACCTTCAAAGAATGGGTAATAACTTCTTACTTTCTTATATTGGAGGATCCACCTTTTGGTGGCAACCATAACGACAATAAGCAGATATTACACACTCTAATCTGGCTCGGATACCAATTGTTACGGAAGACGACTATCGGATAGAGCAAAATCGCAACTGATAATTTAAGAAAATAAAAATGAAGATAAAGAAGACACAAAATTTACGTGGAAAACCCCTAAATTATATAGGGTAAAAACCACGGGAAACGGTAGAAGAATTTCACTATGAGAAAATAGGAATTACAACCTCTCTCGATCTACCAAGGAGAAAACAATGATAATTCTCTCTTGATAAAAAGGAGAAAACAACTCTCAATAAACTCTCTAAATTCTCTCTAGTATTGGAAGAAAGCTAGAATGCTTTGGGATGATTTTAAAGCTAAATGAGCTAGGATATTTATAGTTGAAGCTTAAGGACTAATCTTGTAAATACCCTAAAGTATAATGACTAAAATGTGTAATTTTGCCATATCACTTTTCAACCATTATTAGTGTCAACTATGAACCATTATTGTTGTCAACTTACAATGCATTATGAACCATTATTATGCATTATGCAACTATTATTAGTTGCATGACAACTAATATCTTGTTCCATCCCTAATATTTTTGCTAATAAACTTGCTACTTGAGAAAAAGAACGCGAAATGAAATTAAGCAATCTTCAAATAAAACCACTTATTAATTTGGAAATTAAATATCAAAATAGTAAGTATACCATGCATGCAGAAAGTTTGCCGACAACTATCTTATGTTCCTATTACAAAACCAAATACATAAATCCATGTAAAAACAGGTTACTGAAGGGACACCTTATTAGCTTCCTCGATTTTATTACATGCTGCTGTTTGCATGAATGAAACTGAATATCTGTTGGACTGAGCTCGCAATATCTTCTGCGCTGAACCCAGATTCACTCCCAACCTGCATATGCAGCTATTTTAAGAAATGTTTTTCGATACTTGAAATCATAAAATTTTAAGAAATTAATTTTATACCTTGACGTTGAAGGAATAAAGAACTGTTTGTTCAATAGTGGTGATGTTGGTGTGAAGGATATTGAGCTGCAAATCTTCGAGAGCAGCTATGGTTTTAACCAGTTGGCCTGGTCTTCTCCTACAAAGGATCTTAATCATTGCATCAAACCCTAAAAGCTTCACTTCAACATCCGCCAAGCATGATTTGCTTTCGGCTGTTTCTTCCCGGAGACCGGTTTCGTACTCCAATAGCTTGATTTGATCCGTTGACATGGGAGGGAATTGCTGTTGTTGAATCCCCATTGATGTATCTCCCATCTGCCTTGAACCTTCTCCATACACTCTTCTTCTTTTCTGGGATTCCAGACATTGAAGGAGTTGCTCTAATTCTCTCACGAACTCTATGGCTCCACCGATGATAGAAGCTTGATCTCCCTGCGAAATCCATCCACGATGAAACTATGTTGCAGTGATACGGATAAGACGATAAATATGAATACCGATATTCGAGGACTTATCCGAATCTCATTAAAAAATTCCTCATAATTTAGCTGATATTCTAAGTTTCAGAATCAACTTTAATTTCTTATTCAAAATTATATTTTTTAAATTTAAGTTAAATCTAAAAATTAACTCTGGGCACGTGTGGGAAGATTAAACAGCTTCTCTATAAAACCTCTTCGATACTCATATCGAGGACATATTCTGTACTTGAAACCGCATTGAGTTGTCGTATCATAGATGAAATACAAGAGATTGAAGGATGATATAATGGTGTTTGAGTGGAGATTACTTACCCTTTGGACATAAGAGCCAGGCATGAGGGATCTCAGCACTCGAAGATGCTCATTCATCTGCTTCCTTCGGTTTCTCTCCACAGCTATGTGAGTCATCCTTTGGCTTTCAACTTCTTCACTCGTTTTGATACTTCTTGGCCTCTTCCTCTTGTTCTTACCACCTTCTGGTATCACACTGTTCTTGTTCTGAACATCATCTTCCGCAAAGAACCGGAGTTGTACACCATCATTATCTGAAACCCTAGCTTCATCTTCTCCATTATTATTCCCCTTCTCTTCCACATATCCCTCAGGAGGAACCATCAACGACTGATCCTCTAACTTGTCGCTTAAGACAGGAAACCTGAGGAAATAACCTGAAGGATCGATCCCGGTTTCTTCCTCGGGGATCCTCGTTTGGTTTAAAGCTAATTTGGGACCGAAATCTGCAAACTGCATAACATCAGCAAAGCTCAGTTTATCAAAAGAAGTCGGAGTGGAACAAAACCCAGATGAAGACGATATGTGTTGCTGCTGCTGTTGAGGATTATTCAGCATGTAATCAACCATTCCATTGTTATTATCACCACAAGAACGTTCACCAATCCTCTGCTGCTGCTGATGGTCTAATGAATAATCCAGACCCACAAAATTTGCCTGAAACAAAACAAGTTTATTGCAGCACAACATGGTGATGAATATAGAGAAGAAGATAAAACTGTGAAGCTTATTTCTACCGAGTAGTTTTCTTCTTTCTCCATTATGCTATATATGTATATGTATATGTATATATATAACCCTAGGAGAGGTCAATTCGTGTACAGACAAACTCGACCCTAGCTAGTCAATATATCATTGAACCTGCAACACAGAGACAAAATCTTGTTAAGTTACAGGCTTACAGCCAGTAAATACAATAATTTTGCAGAAGAGTTTATATATATATATAAACAAAGAAACCGCCATTGAAATTACATGCAATCACACTAAAATTAATACCATAATAAACTTGCATCTACCTTAAGATGATGAGGTCTTGATCAGAGAGAAACAAAAGAGATAATAAGACAGAGAGGTGGGGTAGCCATGGAAAGAGAGATGATGATGGCGATGGAGCCTGTGAGGGATTGATACGTATATATACAAAAGGTAAATATTCAGAGAGTTGCACCACCTCCGTGATATTTATGGTTTTCACAGGCTTATCCCAACGCTCTTCCCCTTGCCTTTTTTACCACCACTTTTCATGACCCTAATTAAGTACACTCGCTCTCAAATCCTTTTTTTCAATTTTCAATCTTTTAAATCATTTTGTGGTAATTCATAAGTTTTATATTAATTAGAATCAGCTCCTCATAGAGATATTAATTTCGCTCAAATTCTTAGTCAATAAAAAATAATCCTTCAAATTCAAATAATACTTGTTCAAGTATGTATGCTAATGAAGAGATTGTGTATGGTGCCGATTTGAAAGGGTTTAGATGCCTAATGCATTCTTTAAGTAAATTATTGGATTGCGGGAGAATTTGGTTCAAACAACTACGTTTTATTTATACTATAATACGTAGTAAATAGCTAGATGGTGTCACTTTCTCATACAAAAATAATTTTTACCCATTGATAATAAAATTTTTATATATCGCTTCATTTTGTAAGTTCAAAATAAATTTTTAAAAAACATTTTTAAAAAAATTATATATATTTTTTAAAAATCTATTTTTAAGCCAATTTATTGAAAATCAAAGAAGAATTAGTAACAAAGTGTCAATAAAATATTTAAACGAATTTAGTTTATTTTTCATGTCTAAATATTTTGGATACCTCACTATTCATAAAGAAGAGAAATCATCCTCACTTATAAATTGAATGATATATATTTATTATAACAATATCAATTAAACTAAAAGATGAGATCCGCTAATTGATTGAATGGTCAAGAATGCTCAATTGCTTATATTATTCTATTATGTATAAATTTGAATCTCGATGTTTATTTTGAAAATATAATATCTCTCTATTTTATAAAATGATTAAATTAAAAGATAATAATGAAGAGAAATTATTGATTTATAGCATCGACTGAAGTGAAGATTTGTGTATGTCCTCCTCCCTGATTAAAATTTTTAATAAACTTCGATTCTAATAGATTAAAATCGTTGAGTATATTAAACGATTTTAGTGATTAAATAAATATTAATGTTAACAACAGTTGCTTCAAGTGATAAACAATTTGATTCTACTTAAACAAGGTCTTAAGTTCGAGTCTGTGTATATAGAAAATTTTTGTTAGAAGACTTACCTCACCCACCAAAACTAGGTATGCGACACGAGTCAGTCTGGATTAGTCAGAGCAAAACCTTGGATCTGGGAGGGTAACCAAAAATATATTATTTTAAAAAAAAATATGAACATGTATTATAATATAATCATCCAAACTAATAAAATAATAAAATCATTAAAATAATTTTACTATTATTTTTTTATCAACTTAAGCCTTTTACTTTCTCCAATCAATTTAAATTAAATTAAAGGATAAATTATACGTATAGTTTCTAAACTATTATTTTTATTTTGTTTTGGTTTTCAAACTTTTTTTTCTTCAAAACCATACATTAGTTTAATTTAAGTTGATATCATGTGTTTTTAACGATAATATTGACATGTTACCGTAAATTAATGTCACGTCTTCATTAAAAAGATTAAATTGAATTTAAATCAAACTCTAATATATACTTTAAGAAATATTTTTATACTTTCAACAAGGCTTAATATAAAAATAAGTGCAAATTATGCATTGAAAAACGTTTTAGTATTTAAAGAATTTTTTGTTAAAAATAGGTGTCTAACTTTTTTCAGTTATATTTTTAGGTGCCTAATTTTTTATAAATAAAACATTATTTTTTAAAGAAAAAAGAAAAACTTAAAAAACTTAATTTATTTCTAAAAAACCCAAACTTTTTAGAACTTACAAAATAACCCCTATTGGGTTTTCACCGAAGCTTCGAAGCTCCCTCCACAGCGTACGATGGTTCTACTCAATGAGAGGATGGTTTGGTTTTCCTTGACGTGAGACAATGCTTTCACTGGTGTAAGCGGTGTCGGTCACGGTTGGCCGAAGAAGGGTTTGACGGTGAGGGGCAACGAATGGTTTCTTATTGTTTTGTGACAAATCGATTGTCGATTTGGGTAATTGTTGGTCGGAGTTAGGGTCACGAGGCCCCTGTGAAGCTGTTGGTGGTGACAATGTACGCCACAAGTTGCTAGTGGCGATCGAAGTCGGGAAGGAGAAATGGAGAAGGGAGGGGAACGGGGTGGGTGGGGGATTTTTTTAAATATTTATTTATTTTTTAATAAAAATAGGGTAAACTATACCAGTGGCCACCCAACTATAGCCCATTTTCATTTTGACCACCATTTTTAAATTTTTATCAATCAGGTCACCCAAGTATTTAATAGCATTCAATCAGACCATTTGTCGTTAACATTTAACAGAAGTGTTAACATGGCAGTAAATAAAAGTGGTATAATTACACATTAAATCCTTAATATTTATATATTCTATTAATTTGGCCATATTTTATTTTAATTTAATAAAATTATTTCCCAATTAGATGACGACACTTGTCACAACTATATTAAAATAATTTATTAATTTTAATTATTTTATTTCTTGTCCAATCAAGTGGTGACACGTGTTTAATGCAAAACATTGTGAATATTTGCAGCCAAAGGGAATATATAACGAAAAAAATTTAAACACTAAAACGTTTTTCGAGATATAATTTAACCACTTATTTTGATATTAATCCCTACCTTCAACAACCGAGGCTGTTTTAAATTTTGAATCGTACATACGAACCTTAATAGGGCTGACTTGCACCTTCACTATAAATCTCTCATTCCCCTAATACATTAAGCACCGGAGGATTTAAAATTTCGCGATTCCAGCTATACTATTATAACTTTATAAATAAAATTGTGCGATCATTTTGCATATGATACTCCTTGTGCAGGTGTATTAATTAACTAATAATTACAGATATTCATGTTTAATGCCTACGTGTTTATATCCGATTGATTCTTTTATGTTAATGAAGTATTTTCATGAATTATAATAGATTAGATATGCCTCGCTTAACTTTGTAAGCTCAGTGTTCAAATTATTTTCCTACATATGTTATAGGTTTCATTGTCTATGACGAAACAACAATATTATTAGATGAGTCTCAATGAGATCATTTGAGTACAGTAAATGACTTTTTAAGTGAACATGTGAAGGTTGAAAATTATTTAAGTTTGTTGTATATAATTTTTAAGAATAAAGAAACTTTGATTTTTATATAAACTATTTTAATTTAAAAAACCAACAATATGAAGGATTGAGAGCTGAGGTGTAGACACTATTTTCGTCCATTTTTTATTTTTTTTTTTATTATATATATCTATATATATTATTTACTTTGCAAACGGTCTTTGAAAATACTTATAATATACATAATTTTTGATTACCTTTTGAAAATGTATATATATATAGTTTTAAAAATATTTTTTGAAAACTATATAGTATATAGTTTTTAAAACATTTTAGAAATATACATAATATATAGTTTTTAAAATCATTTTTGAAAACTTATATAATATATAGTTTTGAATTTTTTTAAAACACTTAAATATTATATAATTTTTGAAAAACATTTTAAAAATATATAATATATAATTTTTAAACCGTTTCTGAAAATATATTATAAAGTTTTTAAAACTTTTTAAAAACATGTATATATATAGTTTTTAAAAGCATTTTGGAAATTTATATATTACATATTTTTTATATATATATATATATATATATATATATATATTATTATTATTATTATTTTATTTTATTTCTTATTATTATTTATGCTTTTTGCAGGGTCCAAGTCAAAGATTTGTTTTGGGTCCAATATGGTCCAAGTCCGGTCCAAACACTGGGCCTGAACCAGCCCAGCAGAGGATACGGTTCAGGGTCTGGAAACCCTAGTCATACATGTCACAGGCGGCGCACAAGGGGGGCAACCAAACGTCAAGCCCGAACCGGCCGGCCGGGAAAATCGGGACTGCACCATCCCGAGAATCCCGGCACGTGAACGTTGAGGGGAACGACCCTGTTATCATCGGAAACGCCTTCACCGAGGGGTTATAAATACCCCGGTGAGGCCATGCAAAGGGGGGATACCGAGGTACCACCACACCGACCACCAGAAACGAGAACGACCGGTCAGCAATAAACCACAACAGACCATCCTCAACAAGACCCAAACGGAGAACCCACAAAAAGATCACGTACAACAAGAAAACCAAACAAAACATTCAAAGCCAACCAACAAGCAAGGTCGAGACAACCAGAAACCATCATCGAGAGAGAACATTTCAGTACCAAAACACGCAAAGCCGAAACAACAAATAACAGAACCATCGGTCACTACCCACACAGACGAAACTGAGAACAAACGAAACCATACACAACAAAAATATAAAACCAAAGGTCGAATCCTCACAGTAGAAAAATCCAAGAAAACCTATACAACAAGCAAGACAAAAGGAAAAACCAGCAGTCACTGTGAAACGGTGAAATAACGACGAAAAGGTAAAGCCTTTCGCCTTAGATTTACTCCAATCTAGTGGCTCTTTGGCGGTTTTGAGGACAGATTCGGCTTTGGGGTGACGATAGGAAGCTTCTAGGTGAGTGTGGGTTTCTCGGCCGCCACAAGCGGCAGCCGGAGCGACGGCAGTGCGACTGAGTGGGCCACCAGACGGTGGCCGAATATCGCCCGAGGAAGGGTTGTTTTAAAAATATATAGTATTATTATTTGATATTTATGCACCACCTTTGTTAGAGGAGCTTACAAAACTTGAACAAATGGAAGATTTCGGAGAATCGAAATAGAAGGTATAATAATTGATTATGCTAATTACGTCATTTTGTCCGCATCCAATTAAAATGCCAAGCCAAAGAAAAACATGTTGCAATAACCAAAAAATGACCTCTTCATTAATAACATCTTAGGTCAACCTAAAGCCAACTCATCCCTTTGGACATTTGTCAAAGAGCTATAACCCTGAAA